GGGGAGGGGAGGAGGGGTGAAGGGAGGACAGGGACAAGGGGAAAAATGAGAACCAAGAAGCGTCATGTGAAGGTACAGGATCCCAGTAATGAATGTAACTGTACTGTAGACCTAGATTGTACCAATAAACTCAATAAAAAGAAAAAAAGAAATAAAAAAGGATCGGAGCCAGGTTTGGTGGCGCACGCCTGTAATCCCAGCACTCAGGAGGCTGAGGCAGGAGGATCGCTGTGAGTTTGAGACCAGCCTGGGCTACATAGTGAGTTCCAGGTCAGTCTCAACTATGTAGTGAGACCCTGTCTCAAAAAACCAAAAAATCCACCACCTGCCTTGCAAGCTAAGGACCCAAGTTCAATCCCCGGTACCAAAAAATAATAATAATAATAATGCTGGGGATGTAGCTCAGTAGTACAGCACCCCTGGGTTCCATCCCCAATACCAAAAAAAGAGAAAGATGGTCCTCAAAGGTTGGCATCAGAAAGTTCTGATGATAAAAATCTCAGTCCTTAGAAAACTTAATTAAACAAAGTATGACGATACTGAGACATTTCTAAGGAGCAATACAATATTTTGATTCCCCGCACAATGTTTCCTTTTATCTGATTATTGAAAAAAAATGTCCGTTTAAAGAGCAAGCATCTCCCACTCCCTTCTTTGCCTGCTCCCTTGGGTGAGCTGGTATTCTGCTTTGACAACAAAGTATCTCCTTAAAGTTTGCAGAACACTGGCATACACAGAATCACACCTACTCCTCCAGATGCTACAAAGTGGGGAAAACTGTAACCAAACCCACTGAGTGAGGAGGAGGGCAGGGATTTGTCTAAAAGCCCAGAAGCAATGTGGGCAGAGCGGAACTAAACTACAGATTCTCTGCATGGTCTCCAGAACTCTTCCTGAGGCCCGGTACCAATGCCAACCCTTGTCTGTGGCATGAGCCGGGGCTGATGGTTGAGGGAACTCCCCAGAGAGGTGACCCAGAGCTGGCACCCACAGTGCTTGACTGACAGCTGGCCCATGTCAATCACTGCTTATGCCGAGTGCCACCCAATCGGAGCACTGGCTTTTTGGTCCGGAAATGCACCCTCTGCTTCCCTTTCCCACCTGACTAGCCACACTTTCTCCTTTCCCTGGCGGTTCATGGAAATCTTGCCCCCAAAGGGTCATAGTTCCTCTCTCGCTCCTCGGGACTGAATTACAAACCATAGTCTAGTTGCTCACCTTCCTCCTTCTGAATACCTACAAAACTTTCTCTGTGCTCCTGGAAATCCCTTGCCTCTCTCCTGCAGGAGTTAGGCCCATTGAGTGGATACAAACCCTGCTATCTCTCATCCACAACCATAGGGCTTCTACAGTTGTGGCTGCCAGAATGTTAACGTAGAACTAACAAACCCTGATCTCTCATCCACAACCGTAGGGCTTCTACAGTTGTGGCTGCCAGAATGTTAACGTAGAACTTTCAAACGATTAAAATATGCGATCACTTTCCATTTCACCGGTTTTAATACACTAGTTGTAATTACTTCAGATGTTTGTTCCTGCCTGCAATCACTATTGTGCTACTTGATTTTTTTTTCTTCTTTTCCCGTGGTTTTAATGAGAAGTTAGAAAGACTGGCAGGAAGGCCAAGAAAAGGGTGGGATGTGAAAAAGGAAACATAGAAAAGCAGTCTTGTGAAAAATAACAAAGATACAGTAACCCATTACTTACCAGAAAGAAAAAATGCTATGTCGTAATTAGCTAACACTGCTCATGTTCTGAGACCACAAAAGTCTCTCTGATCATAATTCGTACAGCAACAGCACAGAATGCCTGCCTTCCTTCCTTCTTTCCTTCCTTCTTTCAACAAGGTCTTGCTATGTGGTTCAGGATGGCCTTGAACTTTCTCCTGCCTCAGGCTCCTGACTACTGGGATTACAGTTGTGCACCACCACGCCAGCGTCCTGGAGAGCCCACTTTGAAAGATTCCGAGAACAGTCTTGTTTTGGTCATGTCTTGGTCCTTCTGACCCGTTCTGTATCTATCTGCACCACACCCAAACTGTGGGACATGGTACATCCTTCAGTTGCTATCAACCTTCAGGGTCTCTTGCCAGACAGCCAGCCGCACAGCATGGGAAGGCTCAGGGTTTTGAGATCCGAAGGCATAGACTTCAGGCTCTAAGCAATGATTTTAATCCTCCAAGCTTTGGTTTCCTCATCCATAAAATAAAGCAAGCAATCCCCATCTCATAAGACCCTTGAGAACATTATATAAGAAAACATGTGTAAGATCGCTGACACTCAAATCACTATCCTGAGATCTATTTAATATAGAGGAGAATTCTCAGAGCTGGGGATTTAGCTCATTTGGCACGGCGCCTGCCTTGCAAGCTCAAGGTCCTGAGTTTGATCCTGGTTCAAAAAAAAAAAAAAGGAAAGAAAAGAAAAGGAAAGCTGTAAAGGAGAATTCTCCTGGACTTCCTTAAGTATCATTTCTTTTTTTCTTTTTTTGCAGTACCAGGGATTGAACTCAGGACCTTGCACCTTGCGCTTGCAAGGCAGACTCAGTACCACTGAGCTAATCCCTCATCTTAAATATCATTTCTGTAACTTCCCTCCCCCGGACATGTCCCTTTCTACCCTGCCTCAAACTGGCAATGTTTCTTCATTACCCTGGAAGCTCTTCAAATACTGGGACTATTTCATTTTTTGGTCTTCTCAAAATTAGCACAGGGCCCAGGGATTTAGCTCAGTGGTTCCACCTCCTGCCTCGCAAACGCAAGGACTGTCGTTCAATCCCCAGTACCCCCAAAAAATTAATTAATTAATTAGCACAGGGCTGGGGACATAGCTCTGTGGTAAAGTACTTGCCTACCACGCATGAGGTATGGTCCTGCCCCACAAAAAAACAAAAATTATAAAATTAAAAGCCCTAGCACTGTGCCTAGCACAGAATATACATTTAATATACACTTGCTCTTTTTCTTCTTGGTGAGGAACCAGTACCAGACAAATTAAATCCCAGGACTTTTAATATCTATGAGAGGATGTTCTCCCTTTGCATAAGGGATTTCGTGATTTTGATGCAGAAAGTTTGCATCAATGGTACCCAGGAGTGGGTACACTGTGCTTCACCCTCCCATCCCCAGGTTGCCCTTATTTTTAGAAGATACATGCTTAATAAGGTTAGTGTTAAACTGGGCATGGTGGCACACACCTGTAATCCCAGTACTCGGGAGGCTGAGGCAGGAGGATTGCTGGGAGTTCAAGAGCAGCCTGGGCTACACAGTGAATTCAAGGCTAGTCTGAACTACATAGTGAGACCCCGTCTCGAAAAACAAAACAAAACAAAAAAAGTTAGCAATATCTGCAATTACTCAAATAATTTAACTCCCTAACCAAAATAAATATGTTTCTATACACATATACACACAGGTTGAGAAAGCAGGCTTGACAAAATGAACAATTATTAAATCTAGGGCCAGGGATTTAGCTCAGTGGTTCTGCCGCCTGCCTCATAAGCATAAGGACCTGAGTTCGATCCCCTGACCAAAAAGAAAAAAAAAAAATCTAGATGGTAGGTATGTTGATGATCATTTTGCTTTTTTTTTTTTTTTCTTGGTTGGGGATCAAACTCAGCACCTTGAACTTGCAAGGCAGGTGGTACACCACTGAGCTAAATCCCCAGCCCCATCATGATCATTATACTATTGTTTCAATTTTATGTTTAAATTTTTCATAGTGTTAGAAGACAGAGAGGTGAGGCAACAACCAAATTATTATCTACCCAGAATAGAAATTTCTTTCTCTTGCATTTACAATAAAATTAAGCCATAAAACTTGTCCTAATGCATTTGGCCAGTTACTGAGGACTACTGGGACTCAGATACCCTTCTATAACAGCTCCAGGGAGCTGGGGTTAGGCAGAGGACAAAGCACAGCCCTTTTACATCGAATATCTTTTTCAGTGTCCTCTGACAACCTTACTATTCATAGTATAGATGGGGATCCCATCAGCACATAACTAGTAAATTACTAAAATAGCTGTTTATTTACCATCTTGATTTTTTAATGAAGTCCTTTATCGTGTTTTAGTTGGGACTCCAGAAGAGAAACAGAAAGATATCATCCAGTGTGATGGCTAACAATCCTTTTCAATCCATCCCTCGGAAGTTCAGTTTTGAAGGCTCAACTATTCCAAAGTGTGGTGCCAACCACTAAAGATTTAGTTCTAGGAAGTAAACTGACCCTAACCCTAATTGTCTGGCCTCGCCTGAGCACCCTATACTTAAGCCAAGCACTCTGTCCAGTGGTGTCAGCTTATGCAAGTCAACACACCAAACTCCAGGGCCTCTGCCCTGCAGAACGTAGTGATTTACTCTCGTGTACTCACGTCACGTGTCCACAACCAAAACCAGCGTTGGATAACCTTACAACTTGTGGAATTGCTTCTGCCTGAAGATAAGGTAGTCGACCTTTTGGGGTTTTGTTGGGTTTATGTATGTTTTTTAACAGCAAAGCAGGTGACATGTAAGGAATATGGGTGTGCAGGTAATAAAGACAGATTTATGGAGTCCAGCTACCGTTACCTCCATTGGACACAAGCATGAAAGGCAGCAGAAGATGAAAGCAGTAAGGACTTCAAAGCTTCGCACACTAGTTACTCCTCCCTTCCTGAACCCTTCTAAGGAGGGGCAGCTACTACTACAAAATAAATGTGATGAAGTAGAACTTTTCCAAAGGTAGGAAGCAAGAGACAGACACACTATCCCAGGTTTAAATCCATATTACTTTGGAAAAGACAAATGTGAAATGTGAGTCTGAAGATTAGTTCCAAGCACTCTCAACAAATTGATTCTCCCCCAAACCCAAAATACACCACACCTAAGCTAAAACATAAAAATAAAAATGGAATCTTATTTACTAGTATATTTTAAAAAGTAAAAATATCTTTCCTGTCTATGCTTTGGAAGGAAAGTTTCAGGGTGAGTCAAACTTACGGGAGAGAACAGGAAATCTTACCTAGGTACAAGGATGCATTTTCTTTCTTAACATTATCATCTAAGTAGGTTGGTCCCAGGGTGTAAATAGGCGTGGAGCCCATTCCAATGAGAATCTGTGCACAGATGAACAACGCCACGTAGACCCAGTGACTGTTTCCTCCAGAGTCCTTTGGACAGGGCGGAGGCTCCAAATCGGTCGTGGAGTTGCCATTCTGACACAGGCCGTCGTTGGAGGCCGAAGCGTTCAACTCTTGGATCTGGTAGGGTGGAGAGATGAAGTGAGGTAAGGCGAAGAGCACAGCCCCGAAGGCGATGAGAAGTCCGCCCACAGCCAGCCACAGGGGTCGCCGACCCCGGCCCCCAAAGTAGCTGACGAACACCACTACCACCAGGTTCCCGATGTCAAAGCAGCTGACCAGCAGGCCGGACTCGGAACTCTTCAGACTGTAGCGCCTTTCAATAGTGGTGATGACACTGCTCAGGTACCCGGAGACCATCAGCGCCTGGATGAAGGTCAGAAAGCACATGCAAACCAGGAAGCAGCGAGAATCGGTGAGGACCACGTAGAGGCATCTTCTCTCCCGGAGCGGGGCCAGCGGCGCCGAAGCTGGGCCGGCCTTGCTGAGGTCCATCATATGGTTGCAGTCTACGGACCCTGCCGTCCCCTCCAAGGGGGACGGGGCAGAGGGGCTGGGAGCCAACGGGTTCTGGCCTCGCTTCACCTCCTGGTGGCCCAAAGAATCCATGCAGGCAAAGGCCGACTTGCCGTCTACACTCGCGGGACTGCGGCTCGGCCGGCAGGCGGCGCTGCTCGGGACCGGTGGGCTCTTAGACCTGAGGGTCTGGGGCTCGCTCTCCTCTTGGACAGCTCCTACCGCGGCCCGCACCGCCGGCAGCTCTCCCGCGGGGGGCTGCGGCCCAGAACTTTCGTCCATGGCTCTTGGAATTCAGATTCGCTCCGAAGCTTTTCATTCACCGGCACCAGAGACCGAAGCCAGGCCCACTCAGTCGTGCACACTAGGAAGCGGGTCCGGGGACGGCGGAGCTGCGTGGCCGGGCATCCTCATTAGCAGGTGCGGCCCCGAGGCCCAGCAGCCGCGAGCCCCGGGGGACGAGGGT